CTTGCTGGGAGCCATCAGTGGCCCCTCCTACCCGTCACCAAGCCCGCCTACCGCCTCAATCCTGGTCTTTGAGAACTCGCCTTTATCACAACGGCCCAGCCCCTATTACATCGAAATAACTCGAGACAACGAATCCCAAAGGACAATCTCTACCCAGCCTCATTTCCACGCTTTTCTCTCTGCCATCCATCTGTCCAACTATCCTCCACCTTTCGATCAATCATCCATTTGCCCATAAAAGCTCCATTTGCCAATCAATCCTCCATCTGCCCATCAACCCTCCATTTCACCATTAAGCATCCATTACCCCATCAATCTTTCATTGCCTCCATTTACCCATCAACTTTCCATTTGTCGTCCTCCATCATCCCTCCATAGCTTCTTCCCCTCCCTCAAAAGGAGAAACACAGCGAGAGCCCATCCGTCCTCCATCTTCCATCCATAGCCTCCTGCTCTCCCTCAAAAGNTCCATAGCTTCTTCCCCTCCCTCAAAAGGAGAAACACAGCGAGAGCCCATCCGTCCTCCATCTTCCATCCATAGCCTCCTGCTCTCCCTCAAAAGGAGAAAGCACAGTCTACCGTCCATCCGTCCTCCATCTTCCCTCCATAGCCTCCTCCGTTTTGCCTCCCTCGCCTCCTCTCCGTCAAAAGTAGAAAGCACAATCTACCGTCATCCGTCCTCCATCCTCCCTCCATGGCCTCCTCTCCCTCAAAAGAAGTACCAAGGAAGCAAACCGACACGCGATAGCCTGCTCTTCCCTCCATATCAGTCTTGAGCAAGGCAAACGGATCCCATCCATATCCATGCTATCTCACAAACAAAGTCAGTCCAGTATCATATCCCAGAGAAGCCGCCTGCTGGAATTTCCTGTCACCCCAGGAATGTCTCTGATTTGCTTGTTCTTCGGATTCACGATTTTGACCACGATAATCGCAATGACGCCAAGCACGATCAAGACCAGAAATGCCATAATGCATCGATCGGTTGCAACTTGCCGACCGATTTCTTTCACCAGCTTCGTAGCCCTCTTGATGCTGAAATGAATGTCATCAAGCTCGTTGATCACTCTCTTCATCTGCTCCGTCTGGCCTTTCGTCGTGATTGCCACTTGGGCGCCAATGTTCACAGTTTGATGGACAATCTTCTGAGCGGATTCGATCGCTTGATCGGTATYGTCCATCACTTTGCGGCCATGATCTTTCAGCTCCTCCGTGCTCATCATCGCCGCCTTCCTCTGGAAAGCCTCTCCCCCATCCTCACCATCCCCTCCTCCATCAATCCCTAACCCCGCCCTTCCTCCACCCAAAGTAGAAGCATAGGTTTTCTTCAACGATACATACCCGTTTAGTTCTTTGATCATCGATTGCTTAGTGTCGTTGAGCTCCCTTGTTAGGGATTCGGGATTACTCGCTTCTTGAGCCTTGATCTCGCGATCGAACTCCTTAATTAAGCGTTTGCATTCTCTCAACTTGCCCGTCAATTCCTCAAGTTGACGGGCCTGACGACCCTGGTCCTTGAGTTTTTCTAGCTTCTGGAAGCCGGAACTTAACTGCTTAAACAAATCCTTCAACTGGTTCTCTATACCTTCTAATTCTTCGCTCATCCGAATCCCCGCCATCCCGCCCCTATCTGGTGATTCCCCAGGCGACGCTTGCAACCTTCGAAACGGCCCCACTCTAGGGGGGGACCTGCCTGCTGAAGCCAGCTTGCCTCTACGAGATTAAATCCCTTCTCCCACCCACTACACCACTACAATCGCCACCCCTCCACAAACCCAGAAGCCCCCGATCTCTCTCTCCTCTCGCACCCGTACCAATCTCCGCCACCCCGCCACCCCACCTCTCCGGACCTCTCTCTCTCTCTCTCTCTCTCTCTCTCTCTCTCTCTCTCTCTCTCTCTCTCTCTCTCTCTCTGCTCTCGCGAAAACTCAAAACCATAAAAAACCGTTTCACTGTTGTCCCAAACCAATACCCCTCCTGAGTTTCCGTGTGAGAGCGCCCTCGTCGAGCAGAGCCGCAGAAGAGTCTGCGAGGCGACAAGTGGGGAAGGGGGGGGGGGAGAATAGGGGGATGATTAGCAATTGGCCTGCCCTGATGGCTTCGTGCAGAAGGATGGCTTGCCTCTCTTCACAATCCAGTTCCTCTTCAGCCTCAGCTACAAAACACCGATCTTTGGATTCCKKGGCGCAAACCATTTGAGAGCTYAAAGCTCATGACGTTCTTCCAACCGCYATAAACCTCTGTACCTAAACCAGAGACTAGGGAAATGGATTGCCAACTATTCTGAATTTTTGCTCCCTCCACCGGATGCCCGAGGGACAGTCTTTCCCCCGTATCCAATTGGGCATTCACTGAAGATCGCAGACTAATTAATTAACCCGAAGATTTCCAAAACACTCGATAAAGAACCGAAATTCCTGCCCACCAATTCCGTGAGCCTGCCGATGAGGAGAGATCCAAAATGGGTCGAAATGAACGGAAGACTGATTGATTAATCAATCAATCAACCAATCAAGCAGAGCAGCAAGCAAAATAAACATAAAAATTGTGTCATGTCACACATACAATCGGTCGGTCCACTGGATAGTCCGATCTGTGATGCAGCACGTCTGATTCAGAAAGACGGTAATCAATGTGCCGGCGAATGAAGAAACCGCCACATGAACGGGTTACCTGGTAGTGAGCCACTTGGCGCCTCAACGTGTGCGCTCGCGAATGGCAAGCACTCATGGGACAATGTACAGCTCCCCTTCCCTGGTCGATGAGAGTCTGACCGGCTCGAAAACAATTTTAGACGACGGTGGCCAGCACTCATGGGACCGCTCACTGCCGGCAATAGACACGTGGCGAATATTCATGGAAAGAGCACCTTTCCTCCTCTCATCGGCCACGTAGGCACCGGTACAGTTCCGAACTCAGCGACATCTTCCTTTCCGCCAGCCGCCTTTACTCTCCCCGCCTGTCGTGTGCTCTGCCTCTCCACCCCTGCAAGACGACATACGGCGAGCAAGGCGATAACCGCGCCTGCGCGCTTCATGGCGGAACTCCTGCACTAAATTCCGCCAGGTCTCGAACCACCAAATTTCGCATTTTTTGCACATCTGATTACCACGAATACTTCCACGAATGAACCTTGCTGAAACGACTGACAAATGAGGAACTGCCCACTTCCCGCCATACCCAGCCTGGCAGGCACACCTTCTCACGGAGGTGGGTGGGCGAGGAGGGTAGCGAGCCCATGCAAATTGGGCAGGGAAAGAAACACCTGACGCAGGAATTGATGATACGGGCTCTGTACAAAATATACCGTTCAATAAAGGAACTGACTGGACGGTTGAAGATGGTGTTGCCTACCGCGTGGCGAGTGCTGCGGTCGCAAAAGCGGGTCCACCCTACGGGATCGCATGCTTCCTTTCAGGGTCCCGACCGGACGGCGAGAGCTGGCTGCTTGTGTTTCACCCACAACCAGGGGCAAGGTCCCACTTGCGCAAATTCGGAGATTTCGGCCGTTGATCTTTGCTATCTACGGTCAGTATCTCTTAATTCGTGCAAGTGGGACCTAGCCCCAGGTAGGCCAGGCCACACCAGAGGCAAGTTCCAACTTGACTGGATTCTTCACTCCCAACGGTAAGCTACAAGGATCAACTGCAAGAAAGAACTCGAGTGGCGGAGGCTGCGGCCCGGTGAAACACTGCGTTAATTCTGCGGTAATTCCTCACGGGGGACGGTGACGGTAACCCACGGAACGGACATGGCACGGATACGGGTTCTCACCATAGCTGAGAGGGTGAGTGCCAGCCGTGAGATATCGGGGGGCCAGGATAGTTGCCCCATCCCGGCCACGTGTCATCGCGGAGTCTTTTCGTTGAGAATGTAAGTGCTACCTTGCTTTAGGGAGCTACTCCAAGGTTTCAGGTTACTGCTTGCTTGGAGCGTACTTGCGAACTACAGTTAAAGCGGAACTGGCGATCGTCTACGCCTGTCCTCTGCAGGTATATCTCTCAGGACTCTGTCTGTGAGACTAGTCGGTGGTTTATTTTGCTCTAAATATTGTACTTTTCCCATTTAAACGACATACCCACGCCGCGGTCAGAAGTCATTGGATAGCTCCAAACTAAAACAAGGGTACAGATCCACGCGCGAATCTGACACTGAATTTCCCCTTTTTTCTCTTATTCCTGCTTTTTTTTCCCTTTCTTCTCCTTTTTGCCCCCTTTTTCTATTCGACTGTAACAGTGAGCCTAGGCACCTAACCCATAACCCAACTAGGGTGTGATCGGCCCACAGTAGAAATGACAGCGCCGGTCTCTTCACCTTCGCGTCCCAGGGCAAACCCGACGGCTACCACGGCCACAGGCCGGTAGTCCTTTGCTGTACAGCAGGGCGTCAAGCCTGCGTGGACCAAAGGAAAGTCTTGTGGCGCACCCCACCTCTTTTGCTGAGGCAGGCACCAACAGGACCAGTCCACGTCAGGCACAGCCCCGGGTACGAAGGATCGTAGTAATTCGGGAATAACTACAGGCCACAGCGTCGAAGCAAAGGTTGGTACCAAGTAGGGACTTGGTACGCAGAGGAGGGTCGGGACACCGCGCCCTCCGACACCGCGTCCCATTCTCTTCTCCCCTACTCGGCGACCCTCCACCATTCTCTCCGCCCACATTCTCATTCTGTATTTTCTTGCTTCCACCCGATTTTCCTCCCGATCTAGTCTCACCTCCACCACTGGTTCCCGTACCTGTCCCGTCAACCCCCCCCGACTTTCAGCTTTTCGGTTCTGAATTGCGATTATTCGACTTTACTGCGCTGAGGTAGGACTTCTTGTTTTTAGCCGAGCATTCGGGATCGCCTTCCGAATGAAAGTAACGTCTGTATGTTGGGCACCACGGCGAGGAAGTGCAAACCACCTCAATCTCAACGTAACCCAGGTAACCCATGTCCACAATCAAATATCTCTTGTAGCGTAAACGAGCAGCGGATTCCAAATCGAAACAGAAGGTCATTAGGTCCGATGCTAACGGGTCGATGAAAGTCTGACTCTCTTTGATGATAGGGCCGAAGGCATCGGACACAGCTTTAGAGAGATGGGTGAGGGCACCTACCGACACCTGCAAACTCCTAGTAATCCAAAAGAATCGATGTCTGGCTACTTCCCTCCATTCCCACAGTCCGTGCTCTGACATCCATGACCTAAACGTTAGAGTATATTTCTTTTTGTCAATTTCTATTACCGTTTGGCCCACATGGAGCATCCAGTCAGCAATTTCCTTTGCGGTGGCAACATACGGAACTAGGTTTCGACCCTCATTGTGGAAAAACCCTCACTTGGGTGAGGCCGAAACTACGCCCGCGGTCGCCTAACCGTCTTCGTACATTCGAACAAGATTGTTTTTTACATCTACGGGCAGCGACGTCGCATCATCACCGAAGGAAATTGTAATTGCATGGGCCATAAGCCATTCCTCCTGAATACGGTTTACTGTCGGGTTGATGATTACACGTATGTAGTCATCTCCTGTTTCAACCGAATTCGGGGCTAGTAAGTCCTTAGGCAAAACTCCATCGATATAGCACTTCGAGATTAGGTCCCTGATCCTGTTTTTTTCCTCGCTCGGCAGTGGTTGGTCCGTTTCCAGCACAACTATTTTCCTTCGCTACCCTACAGTAATCTACAGTAACTTGCAACCCAACGAACGAAGTGAGATCTTCTTCCTTTACTTCGTTTCGTAATTATTATTATTATTATTTTGCTGATTCTTAGACGCGAGTGTTCCTTCAGTCCCTGTCACTTCGTGGGAAGGCAAACGGTTTGAGATTCGAGCGCGACTGCAGTCTGTGGCCCAGACTGATTTGCCCTGTCGTTTCGTGCCGATGATTGGGAGGCTCGATCAGCTGCCGCGCGGTAGGACCCCAAAAGAGGGGCGACCCTCGGCCGTATCGGTATGAAGCTTATCACCCCTAGAAAGGGAAATAAGCCCCCTCCTTGCCATCGGACACGGGTACCTACGAGAGGTAGTCTGAGGGAGTCTTTTGAGGAAGAGAATGAGCTGGCGGTATCTCGTTATGGGACCACGGCTTCGGGCCTTTGGTCACTTCGCGATTAAAACGAAACGACTAGTGGTCGAAAGTTGGTGCAGGTACTATGATCATTGGTGTTTTGTTTCACGCCGCTCTTCTCTGTTTATTTTAACTTATTTTCTTTTGTTAATTTACGAGTTATAGATTGGAAGAATATAGAACTCTGAGAGTTATCCCGCATTTAGAAAACAGGGATCTTGGGCTATAAAGAGAAGAAGGGGATGGCGTTGCACGGTGTGTATGAGGTGTGTCCTCTCCAGTCTGAGGTGCTGGGACGCTATTCCCTGCTAACCGCTTCTATAGCACCCTGCATGTCCTGTGAGCAGTCTACAGTGCGCACTCGAGTGGCTGACTCACTATTCTGGGCGGGCAGATTAGTATTGTGCAAGGTCTACCGAGAGAGGTCTGGTTATGACACCGCACGGCTATAGACCAGGCTATTGGTACCTCGAGACCCGCAGGAAACCCATGTCTGGGAAAGGGCCTTGGATCACGGTAATGCTCAGTTACGATGGGGGAGATGAACTGAGACTGAAAATTAACGTGGAAGGGGCTAAGGAGGTGGAAATGCGGACTAACCCAAAGCTGCAGGATGCTATCACTGAAGCGAAGGATCGGGCCAAGCGACGCTGCAGAAGAGACGGGGTGACGGCGAAGATGCAAGTAACGGTCTCTTATCATGAGAGCGAGACCTTAACGGACACTTTGGATCAGGAACAGGCTCACTTGGACAGAGATTCAAGCGGCGAGAGTGAGATGAGTGAGGCTAAAGATCGGGAAACCAATCTTCAGTCCTGGAACAGGCGGGGCCAGGTTCGCAAGAACCACCCACTGGCACAACCTGTGGAGGGCGGGCCCGAGGCCAGTTCAGCCCGAGGCAGAGGAAGGCCAGGAGAGGCTGGGGCATCGGGGACACGTCGTCTGTAGAGCTGTCGGGGAAACACAGGACGGTTACGCGTGCACTCGAGGGACTGCGAACCAGAGAGAGAGTTGACCCTTGAGAGAGAGCGTGCGACAAAAGGGGGAGGAGATATGGCGAGAGTGTGTGGGTGAGAGAGTCAACTCAAGAGGGTTGTGAGCGGAAGGTCGCCCGGCAGACACGTGCTGGACAGCCCACGCTGGCGAGACGATGTTGACGTCAATACGAGCATTGCAGGACGACTCCAACCCTCATTCTCTTGGCTGACGTCAGCACTCGCACGTGCCAGCGGACTGCACTTTGTCCGGGGCGCTCTCCATGCCGTTTCTTCGGAACTGAGGCGAATGAGTTTTTAGACGGGCCACTCACTGTATTGTGATCAGGGTTGCCATGTCTCGGGAGAATGAGTACAGACCATAGGAACTATACGAACGATGAAGCGCTAGTGGTGCAAGCATGAGAAGAGGGAGGTGAGGGAAAACCGTTTGCCAAGGACTATGTTAGGTAGTGGGAGTAAAGGTCACGTGTGAACTTGCTATCGTGGAGACGAGTATTCTTACATGATGAGAAGAGGAAAAGAGGCGTGAACACTAGAGAGAGGCGTGAAAATGAAGGGGAGAAGAAAACATTGGTCACGTGAGCGGCTTCCTCGGAAAGTCTGAGCGGGCTGAGTTGAAACCAGACTGGAGAAAAAAGGGAGCGGGCATGCCCGCCTGTTGTCGTCATCAACAATCCAGTTTGTATGAGTTTATTGCTTGTTTGTCACGGTGATGAGCGAGGCGAGAGGGTTGGAGAGAAGGTTGCAATGTATGCTTTTCACTAGCAGACGAGCACCCTCCTGAGCAAATATCGCTGGCTCGTCGTCAAACTCCTTGCCCAGCAGACAGCGTGAGATAACCCTGGGGACTTTGACTTCACGCGGCTCTTGCAAGATCGTTTGGCTGATTCTGCTTCTTCATTAGTGTGCTCATTCCTTATCATTGCCGAGCCGTCATCAACTTCAGTTCCACTTTTGTATAACAACACTTGAGTGCGGATCGTTATTTCGAGTCCTACTATGTTATAATCAGTGCACACCCGCTCATGCGGTAGACCAGTTATGGTCAATGTGGTCCCCTCGGATGAACATGTCTTGTATATCAGCAGGGTATTAAATGTATGCATGTGAGGGTGAAACGGGAGGGACACGTCTGTAGTGGTCTTATTCTTAAGACTTTGGGCTAGTCTCCCTCTAGTCGGAGACTAACGCAAGATGGGGAGTCAATTACT